ATATATGTATAAGAAAGAGCATTATATAAAGAGTATTGTACATTAAGAAAACATCCCAGCCTGATCCAGATCAAGTCCATAAGTGCAATATTAGCTCATATGTGAGATACCAATCTATAAGGTCCTCTTCAGACTCATGAAACACATGCAATGACGCCAAATACAGGAAGATCACAGGCTTGTGGATCCAGTGGTGGTAGTGGCATCTCAGTGCTGGCAGGGGTCTCCACATGGTTCCTCCAGCTCAGGGCACTCATGTAGTTCCATGTGTCTTGTCAGCTACAATGTCTCCCAGGGAGTGAGCAGAGAGAGAGTGTCTCCCACCCCTCAGGAGAAATACCAGAGTTCCCAGAATCCTCAGGAGAAGGCCATGCCCACACAGAGGCCTCATGGGCTATGACCTGATTGACAGGTAAACTCCACCCCATCACTTGTAATCCTCTCAAATTGACAACAGATTCTATAACTACCACAATGTGCAAGGAAGTCTGAAGAGTCGATGTGTCTGAATTATGGTGCTGAAGAAGAATATTGAAAGTACCATGGCCTGTCAGAGGAACAAACAAATCTGTCTTGGAAGAAGTACAGCCAGAATTCTTCTTCAAGGCCAGGATGGCGAGACTTTGTCTTACATACTTTGAACATATTGTTAGAAGAGACGACCAGTCCCTGGAGAAGAACATCATGCTCGGTAAAGGAGCGGGGCAGTGAAAAAGAGATGGAGGTTCACAGTGTGTGCCCCAATGGGCTCAACCACAGGGGATAGAGTAGGACCCGGCACCGGTTTTGTCTGTCACACGCATGGTTGCTATGAGTCAGAACCAACCCGATGGCACCTCGTAATGACAATAACATGGACTGCTATAGGAATAAAAAAGAACAGTTCCTCAGGGTCTAGGATGCTAAGACTTCGTGTCCTGTACTTTGGATATGTTATTATAAGAGACCAGTCCAGGGGCAGGACAGCATGCTTGTTAGAGAATCGGGGAAAAAGCAAAAATCCTGAGGAGATGGATTTACGCAGTGGCTGCAGCATGGCATCAAACATAGCAATGCCTGTGAAGATGGCACAGGGCCAGCGCTGCTTTGTTCTATTGCTCTCAGGGTCACTATGAGCAGAGGCCACGTGATGACTCTTCGCAATATGAGAGAGCGGTGGCGCACGGAGGCAATTAAGCCTGTAACCCGTTATTCCTGCATCTCCTTTTTCATCTGATGTTCTGGGGAAGTAGAGACCAGGTGTATTTTAAGTGGTCACTTGTGAGCTTTTAGGCACTACTCACAAAACTCAGAGGTAGAAGAGAAATTCTGAAAAGAACTTTGGACTGGATAGACACACAAGGCCATAGCTCTAAAGCTTTGATCCCAGCAAACTAATCCCATGAAGTCACTGTTTCAACCTAAATGGTATCAACAGGGGCAGCCTTTTTTTTTTTCTTGTTTGTCTGGTTTGGGCTGCTGTTGCAGTTGTATAATTATATCAAACATATTATTTGGTATTTTATCCCCTTCTTCTTGCGTGCAACTTACTTATACTAATGACACTAGTCAAATTTTATAACAAGTACCGTAGTTGATGCCAATTTTCTCATTTCCACAAGCAAAAACACCAGAGAATTATTTTTCCTCTCCTTCCCTACTCCTGCCCCTGGTAAGCACTTACAGCCATAGGTTTCTCTGTAATTATCCATTCTTATCATTTTAATTGAGACCATATAATATTTGCCCTTCTGTTGACTTACTTACCCAGTCTAATGTTTTTGAAGTTCATCCATGTTGTAGTATATATCATCTTTAGGAGTGAGTAGTATTCCATTCTATGTAAGGACCCCATTTAGTTTATCCACTTCTCTGTGGATGGGCACTTGGAAGTATGTCCACCATTTTACTATTGTAAATGATACTTCAATAAACATGGACATGCTTGTCCATGTCACCCTTCCTAGATGTATAAGGCCCATACCTAGGAGTGAAACACATAATCACTGTGACACCAGGGCTCCTTTCAGTACAGTACAGAAAAACTAAATCCCAAATCCACTGCCATCGAGTTAATTTTGACTCATTGCAACACTGTAGGAGAGAATAGAATTGCCTATAGAGTTTAAAGGCTATAAATATTTATGGGAGCAGATGAACTCATCTAGCTCCCGTGGAACTACCTGTGGATCTATATTTTTGACCTGGAAGCTCTCAACTCAACATTATATGACTCAGGCTCCTTTCAGTGTCGCAGCTCACTGCCATCGACCTGGTTCTGATACATAGTGACCCTATAGGACCAGGTAGAAGTGTATCTGAGACTGTAACAAGGATTCCTGGTGGCACAGCCATTTGAAACCACCAGCCGCTCTACAGAAGAAAGACAGGGCTTTGTATGCCCATAAAGAATGACAGTCTCTGTCACCCTGTCCTGTAGGGTGACTATGGGTCCCATCGACTTGAAGACAGGGGGCTCATACAACTCTTATCATATTGAATCAGGCATTTGTACATATGTTGCCTTCATTCTTTTCTAGGCATTTATGTTCTATTGAGCCCTTGGTATCAGCTCTCCCCCCTGCCCCACATAACTTCCTGATAGATTATACATTGTTATCATTTTCATCTCTCACACTGACTGCTGTCTCCCTTGCCCCATGTTTTCTGTTGTTCTTCCCCCTGGAGAGGGGTGTATGGTTACATGTCGATCATTGCAACCAGTTCCCCCTTTCTCCCTTCCTCTCCTCCTCTTCCCCCTACCCTTCTGGTATCACTATTCCCACTCCTGTTCCTGGATTCTGTGTCGTGAGCTCCCATCCCTTTCTATCCCTGTGTACATGTCCCGGTCTAGTGTGAATTGAGAAGCTGCACTGATTTTTGTCTTACATATTTTGGGCATATTTTCAGGAGAGCTCAGTCCCTTCAGAAGGATATCATACTTGGTAAAGCGGAGGGGCAATGACAAAGAGAAAGACCTCCAACAAGGTGGATTGACACAGTAACTGTTAACAATGGATTCAGGAATAGCAACCATTGTCACGAGGGCGCAGGATGAGGAAGCATTCTGTCGTGTGCATAGGGTCACCACAGATTTGATGGCTCCAGACAATAAAATGGTCGTCTCAGATAACCATACTTTGGGCACCCTGAAAGGAGGCGAGCTGAACCAAACTCTAACGACCACCTTGATTGAGATAGTCACTAATGTTTGGATAGAAACTCTGTCAGAAGTGTCCATTTAGGAACATGATATCAAATGTAGTATCCCTTTCGGGTCTATATAAGTAACATTAAGTGCTTTTCTCTGGCCAGGTTGCCCCACCAGGTTTACCCAACTACACAGTGTAATCACCTTCTCCAAGACAAACATGTTCCCCTCCCCAGGTCCCCACCCAACCTCTTGACTTGAATTTCCACTGACATTCGCTAATCACACTTAGAGGAGTGTCTGTTGATTTTTTATTGTTGTTTCTAACTTTATTTTTTATTTATTTTTTTGTGATTAATTTTATAGGTAACAAAATGATTCAGTACTATTCAGTATGCCCATCCTTGGTGCCACCGTTACCATTACCTAGCTCTAACTTTTCCTGCTACACTTACTAGAAACTCAGGGTCTCCTAATATTCAAAATATTTTTCCCCCAAAACCTTGGAACAAGGCTGTTGCTCCAAGATGTTCTAACTCCTCACCTTGATCCTGTAGCTGTAGCTCCACTGCTTGTGACTGGGCCTGGGACCCCTGGAGCTAGAAATACCCCAGATGGCGAACGAGAGGGTACCGGGCTCTTCTGTCTACCTCCCCCCCCACCACCCCTGCCCCTTTACTGCAATGTCCTCTGATGTGCATAGTTCCCTCTCCTGCCACCTAGACACTCACTCCAGAAGACAAAACTCCTTGGACTTCTTTACCAGGAGGGACAAGGTGCAGTTCTGGAAGCCTTGGTGTTTTCTAATTGCAAGATTATAAAAATAAGTGAATTCTTTTCCTCTCCTTACACATAAGTGTTTTTCATCAGGAGTTACGTAGAAATAGTTTACTGAAGACTTGGAAAACATTTGCTCTGATCTTGGCACTGCCAAGTGATTATCATTTATTTGAGGTAAATTATCTCATTAGGTCCGAAAAGGCATCACAAAATGCTGCTAGCAGGTCAGCGCAGTCTCACATCTCGTTTCATGTGTCTGTAAAAATGTCCCACAAGGGTGGTTCAGTGGGAGAATCCACACCTTCCATCTGGGAGACCTGGGCATAATTCCCAGCAAACACATTTTGTACCCCATTACCACTCATCTCTCAGCGGAGGCTTGCGTGTTGCTACGATTTGGACAGGACTCAGTGAAACTTCCAGACTAAGACAAGACTAGGAAGAAAGGCCTGGTAAAAAACCTCCAAGATTCAGCCACCTCCGTGGAGACGATGCATAACCAGGCAACACCCTTTCTATTGGGCATGGAGCTACCAGGAGCCAAGGGCCCATGTGACTCATAAGAAGAAAGCTGTGAACAGAGAAGGTTCTGGTTACTGGAACCAAAGTGTATTAAATCAACATCAATAGAGTTGTTCAGGGGAACGTTCAGACATAATTTACAGAGGAGAGATGTTTTTCTAGGCCTTTCATTAGCTCAAAGGAGAACATCTGAATGGTTCCTGGGAGGGCCGGGAGATGAGACACTGGCGAAGCCCTTTCCATGCCCACCCCAGAGCCACGGTTTCCTCATGGAGTAAGTGACGCACAGATGTAGAGCTCCAAAACCACACCGGAGTGTCTGTTTGGGATCACTGGGAGGAGAGGAGTGTTGACAAGCTTTCTCCCCCTGCACATGGTTTCTGCCCCACTCTTCTTCCCCGAGTTCCAGTTGCGGCCTCACCCCTGACTCCAGTCCCAAACTGTCATGATCCTGTCCATCTGGAGCTCTCTTTACTGATCCACTCAGTAAATAGGCAGTAATGAACCAATGGTGGCTGGTTGGCTGACTCCACCTCTATTCCTTTATCCTTCCATGTTCTTACGGAAGACCTGCCTTCTTCAGGAGCACCTGGAGAATGTCCAGAAGGAGTTCGTCATTTTCAACAGAGAGAAGTAAGTACCTCTTCTAGGAGCAGCAGCTCAGCACAGCATAGCGTTGTGGGCGGGTTTCACTTGGCAAGTCTAATAATAATTTTTAAATGTTTCCCCATTCTAATTACAAAAATGAGGCACCCCCATAATAGAAATCTTGGGAAACTCAGAAATGATTTTTTTTTCTGGTAAGGTTTTTGTAAACTGTAGTACATTCTGCTGGGACTTAACCCACTGATGTCCGGTGGGTTCTGACTCATAATGGCCCCGTAGGATTGAGAAGACCCATCACACGGGGTTTCCAGAGAGGTACCACTTTGCAGAAGCTGCCTGCCTCATCGTTCTCCTGCACAGCAGCTGATGGTTCAGAACTACAGACCTTTCTGTTAGTTGTCCAAAGCGTAACCCATTGCACTACCAACTCAAGGCCATGAAGACCCTTCTGATTCATAATGATCACAGTGACTCGTGAGGTTTCCAAGATTGTAAACCTTTATTGAAATGCATGGGTTTGAACCACCAACCTTGCAGTTGGCATCCCAACACTTAACCCACAGTGATACCAGTGCTCCTTTAATTAGGACTTAAAATTCATCAGAACTAAATCCACGGCCATCAAGTTGATTCCAACTCATAGCAATTCCAGATAGCAGTGGTTCTCAACCTTGCTAATGCCGTAACCCTTTAATTCAGTTCCTCATGTGGTGGTGACCCCCCCAACCATAAGATTATTTTCATTGCTACTTCATCACTGTAATTTTGCTACTGTTATCAATTGGGTGATCCCTGTGAAAGGGTCATTTGACCCCCAGGTTGACAACCGCTGCCATATAGGATTTCTAAGACTATACATCTTTCAGGAGCAGACAGCCTTATCTTTTTTCCCTGGAACTGACTAGTGGATTTGAATCAGTGACCTTGCAGTTAGCAGCCCAACACCTAAGCCAGACTTAGCCCCTTCAAATCGATGATGTTTGTAAGAATTCCCTAGTGCCTACCTCTGTAAATTGTTAGGCTTAATACTATTACTTTAAAACTTAAAATATTTTGTCCTTTCAACCAATAAAAACTTTCTCTCGTTTTTCTTCCTTTGAAGAGTAAGAAGGGCTTTTATTCAAAGGCAAGCAAATCTAGCCTTGGAACAAACCAAAGACCCACAAGGAGAGGATGGAGAGAATAACAACCTTTGAAGGACCCGGGACTTCTTCTTGCTTCCTCCAGCCGGGGCATTCTGCTTCTCCGTGTCCAGAGAGCTGACAGGAGCTCTCAGCATGTAGCACCTTGTAGAAAGTGTGAAGGACTATCTTTCCACCGAGGCAGCAGGAGACAGTGAAACAGAGTCCGGGGCTGTGCATCTGGGACCTAGTTCTGCTACTAACTAATGCTCGACCTTGAACAAGTTACTTGCTCACTTTCTCTGCTTCAATTAATTCTTTTAAAATGAGAGCATTACATTAGATGAGCTCTAGAATGACTTTTTAGTGCTAATATGCTATTATTCTAAATAGCTTTCATGTTTACTTTAAATGAACTTTTTCATGTAGATTTATTTTTTCCACTCTTTCTAATTACACTGTGATAAATGGGAAACATAGCTATTGAACTGAGTGAGACTCTTCATGGCTACAAAATTTCAGAGAGACCCCCTTGCCTGATTGCATAAGGAATTTCATCAGGAATGTATGAATGAACCTGGGACCAAAGCTACCTAGATTCAGGAGGGTTTCCAATAAACTGGTGCCATCATGCAGTAGCTAGAAAGAGCCTATTGTTCACAGCCCTCTCAATGCCCTCCTGAGTGATTTGACGTTGGTCGTTTGAAAGTGGTGATAGTGGAAGTATTTACACCATAGAACTCAACCAATTCTGCAAAGCGGAGTGCCCAACACCACCAAAACCACCACTGGTATTTGGTTGTTAAGCATTTGTCATCATATCCCAGGCCTCCTTCCACCAAGCATGCCCATGCTCCCTGAGAGCTGATTGCTCTCTGAAGCGTATTGGAGATCTGGTATGGAGGGAATAAAGAAAGTATAGTCTTATTTTGACAGAATACCTCCTTGTCGCACAGCGAAGTGGCATCTACCCCAGGGGGTGTAGCCTGAGTTAGAATGTGAGGTGACCTTGGTAAAACAGTGACATTTACTCTTAAAAGTCCCTTAAACTGCCCGTAATGTACAATGAGTACTTGTGCTCAGGGAAGCTCAGTACAGCAAGTCAACCTTGAACCAATAAACAGATCACTGTTTTTGTTCTGTTCTTTATTCTTATTTTGGATCATGGGTCTGGCTAGTACCAAATGAAGCAACACGGTGAACAAACTGTACCTGTCTTTGTAGACTGGAATTACACTGAGGATCCTGGCCTGCCACACTGCTGAGAGGCCTCCCTGCCTGGCTCCTGCCCTGAGGCCACCAAGGCCAAGGCAACCCAGGGCACTGGAGTCCCATGTCTCCCCCTTGTGCATCCTGCAGGAATGGCAGGCAGGCTTGCCTACTTCTTACTTAAGTTTTACCGATGGCTCATTCTTTTTTTGTTATTTTATGTGGCAAGTTCAGTTTAATTCACCTAAGTTCGTCTACAGTGAAGTAAATCAACAGGACACTGTATTTCTGCACAGAAGAGCTTCACAGAGGGACTTTTTTTTGCAGCGAGAGGACGAGAAGGCCGAGTGGGCAGGAAACAGCGGCGGCAGAGGGTTTTCAACGGCTTGGCTGCGCAGAGAGTAATCCAGTCCTGAGGGTCACCGAGATGGCTGAAAATGGCCTCTGGAAGACCACACTGATGCTTGATTGGAAGGAACAGATAAGCTATGTAAGATTTTCCAAGGCGGATCTCGCACCAGCAGAATTAACCCTGCATCGATCGTCGGTCAGCCAGCGCTGAACTAAGGGAGCCTGGGCCTCGTTCTCCTCCTGGAACTAATAAGCCCAGACGTTCTGGCAAAGCAGTAACCCGGTGCCTTTCTACTCCAAGTGTCCCTGTTTGCATTAGCAATTAAAACCCAGCTCTTTTGTTCCTAAGCCCCTTTCTTGACATTTCTTTGCATTGCTCCATTGCTCCTGGCACCACAAATTCTAAGAACTTGCCCTGCCTCTTTTTTTTTTTCCTTTTTCTCCAGAGAGGGAGAGAGGTTAAAAAGAACAACGATAGGAAGGCATGCAGCTTCTGCCCCAAGCTGGGAAACCCCACCGTGGCAGGAGTCATTGTGCTCACCACCTGACATCTTTGTTTTGATTGACACCCAGTGTTCCTGGACTTCACCTCCACAGTCCCCTCAGCTCTCCCCTTGCTGGAGCTCTGGAAACTCACCTAAGGGCAGTGGACCTTAGAGTTCCTATCGTGATGGAAGGAATCATTTGTTGGTCACAGATAGCCTGTGCTCAGCAGTCTGTACCAGGACAGCTACCTGGGCCAGCCACCAGCCTTCGAATGCCTGGTTTGGACATCCGGTGGCAGCTCCATGTCTGCAGGATCCCTGTGGGGTGGGGGGCGGGGGCTCGTGGATGCTGTGCTGCAAGATGGATGTCTAACCCAGGTCGTGCTGCGTGTATACACACTTCTCAAATTAGAGGGGTACAAAGAAAGAAACTGTCCACAGTGCAAAACTGCCCCACTGCATCACTTGACATCTTCCACAGAAAAGATATTTCCCAAATATAAAACTTTCTGTACACTGTTGTGGGACCACTAGTTGTGGAGGTCAGATGCCCTGCCTCGGGCTGAAAGTTCATATTGCCCTGGTGGAACATATCTTGATTCGTGACCATCAAGGCTTAGGGCTGAAGGGTTTAAAGACAGTGTCTGCTACCTGCTCTGGTATTCCTCCTTCCATCACTTTGCCCTGCCAGCATTCCTCCTGATCTGTGTGGAGTTTCTGAAAAAATCTGAACGGGTTCTGAAGACCAGATCTCCCCGGGTTAGAACACAATGCGCTGCAGCAGGACAGCATCCTACGGGGAATTTGCAGTGGCCGCTGGCTGCTCCGCGGGAGAAAGATGGGGTTCTACTCCCGTAAAGTTCCAGTCTGGGAAACCCACTCCAGAGTGGCTGCGGGCCAGCACTGACTGCATGACAGCGAGTTTGAGTTTCTAGTGGACGGGAGGCGGCTGCAGTGGACAAGCCCTGGAAAATTGACCAGGACCCTAAGGGAAGGAAATGCTCTGCTGATGGCTCACGCCTTGATGGCAGCGCTGGTCTCAGCTGCGGCCACTGCTAGGTAGGACTGGCTATCAAGCAGCACTGAGCATTGATAAATCAATTAGGTTAATTCACTCAGTTTGGCCAGGTTGCTGATGAGAGTGTTTTAACCAGATATACCTAGAGATTGCAACATTTTTTTCTAGGCTGGCTGGCAGAGCAAACTAGGTTGATCATGTAGCTCGCTGGGGCCAGGGCTGCTGGCTTGGGATGACACAGTCATGTCAAATTATGAATGCTTCAAAAACGGAACAAAAAGGAACTTATGGCAATGATTGATGTACAACCCCCCCCACACTCCTGGGGATCAACAATAGAAATGTGGGGGAAGGGAGACAGTGGGCATGTGAAATATGAAAATAAAAATAGTTTGTAAATGATCAAGGATTCACGAGGGGAGGGGAGAAAAAGGAGGAGCCGATACCAAGGACTCAAATAGAAAGAAAATGTTTTGGAAATGATGGCAACCTATGTACAAATGTGCTTGATACAATTTATGTATGGATTGTGATAAGAGCTAGAAGAGCCCCCAATAAAATGATTATTAAAATTTTGAAAAGAAAGAAAAATGGACGAGCTTTCCATTTCAGGATCCAGATGCCATCCCAGCATTCCGTCTACACAAAATCCCGTTTCCTTCCTGGTCTGCTGTGATGACTGTTTACTTTGTTCCAAGCCCAGGGTGTCTGACTGATAGTAAATATTGATATTACAAATCCAAACCTTCAATTATCTGCTTAGCCAGCTGCTTGTGTGTTGAACTGTAGCAAATCAATTATAAGGTGTCTCTGTGTATTAAAACATGTCTCCTGTAAACAGTAAGCTATTGACCCTTCTTTATGATCCGCTTGTGTGTGTGTGTGTGTGTGTGTAATTGTAGGGTTGGGGGCACCAGAGTTTTCTGTTCCTGTCTCCATATCCTGTTGGGAGCACTCTCCTTTGTTGGAGGCAAGCTGGGGTGAGAGATGACCCAGAATTGTGGGATGCAGTACTCTACTGATCCATGTACACAAAGACGCTGGCCCCTTCAGCATTCACAACTCAGGCAACACAGCCCAGAATCCCAGATTTTGCCTGTCACTTAGACCACAGGTCCAAGAGCAGCCCAGGCACTTTGTTCCATTGGCAGCAGGACAGGGAGCCAGGACATTTCTGTCGAGTCCTATTTTATATTCCTAAACCAGCAAGTAGATGCCCAAGGACCATGGAGAACATATCTGAGACAAGATCATCACGGGCAGTATAGAACTCTTGCAGGTAGAAGCTCCTTCTGCCTTACCATTGCCTTTGAGTGAGTTCCAACAGAGAGGTGCCTGCTAAGGCAGACTACACGTACTTCCCTGGGCTCCTGGGCCTGGCCATTTGTTTGCCTAGGTTCACACTGCCTCATCTTTTCCTCCAGAGTGAAAGGTGGGTTTGAACTCATTGCTGAAATCCCAGCCAACAGCCCAACTTGTAACTCACACTTTCAACTACCTGTTACCCCTAAACAGTACTTAGTGCTGCCTTGGCCATGAGGCTAGGAAATATATTTACCAAACTGGTTGTGAATCATTAAGTGAGACTATGGACCAAAGCTTATTTAACACCAAACCAAGAACCCCAAACAGTGAAATTACTATTCATGTACGCAGAGTAGCTTTTGACCTGGTTCCAGAGTGTGTTATAAGTATAGCCATTGTGTGTTCCTGTCGTGATGTCCTCATTCTACTGAAGTAAAGAGGGCTTGTTGTACTTGAAGTCAATCAGCAATTGCCATTCCTGTTTCCCTTACCCATGTCTTTGCTCACACAGACACTGCACGGGGAAAACATGTATGCCCTGCAGCCTAGAGAAGGCTGGCTTAGCCGCCTGCTGTCCAGCGTCCATCCCTCGCTGGTATCACAGCTTGGGGCCACTCGTCATAACATCACTGAGTCACTTAGCTTACAGGTGGTTGGGAGCTGGGCCCATGACCATGTCTGGCCAGCCAGCCTCATGTCCTTCTGGTTCCAATGATTGGTTTGGTGGTGCACATATGACCCAAGCTGGGCCAATCAGAGTCCTTCTCTTGGGCTAAAACTGTGGAGACTCTCTCCTTCCCTGGAGGTTTCTAAGTAGGTGAAAGAATGCACAAGATGCTGACCAGTTATGCTCTCAAGTAAAAATGTTTTTCTATGAAAGAAGCACATACTAATGGTAAGCAGGAAACTGTGATAGGTAGGTTTATTGTGCCAACCTGGCCAATAGGAACATGTGGGATTACAGTTTGGAGAGCAGATATAAATGGCTCGGCAAGCCCCACCCCTTTCTCTCTTGCTCTCTCTGGTGATCGGACCAGTGTGCAGTGGCTTTAGCTAGTTCTCTGCCTCAACCTGTGAGATACACTAACTAAGGGACAGCCAACCCATGGATTTTATCACTAGAGCTTGAAGTTCTTTTAGACCTGCTTCGCCATGCTGCTGGTGTGCACATCACTTGAACTTGAGGCTGGTAGATCCTGTTGTCTTGCATTGCTTGAGTTTGATATCCCATTCAGGCCTGCTTCGCTAAGTTCCTGAGCTGCTGACTATTGGTGACCTGCCCTGCTCTTTTCTGCCTGTGGGTGGACGGCCTGCATTGCCAGAGGGAAGACTCAGCTGTCTGCTTCCTTGACCTTGGACCCAGCAGCACTCATGAGTTGAAGGACTTCAGTATATTAACTGTTCCATGGAAGTGAGTTGAACTGAGTCCTCTGTACTATTGTGTGGACTAATTAGCTCTTATATTCCTTTGTGTTGTATAAACCTACATATATGTGTGCGTGTGTCCTGGTTTTGTTTCTCTAGAGAACCCTGACTAAAACAAAAATCAAGTTCTAATGTCAGGTTTAGCTCTTGGACTCATTTCTGCTCAAATCTATTTCAGTTGCATCAAACTTTAAAACTTCATTTCCAACCTACCTTTTCTTTTTTGTCCCCAAATGGATTTAATATTTACAATTGAAACTATCCTCCAAATATTGGAACTGGATCCATTGTTATTTCCCCAAAAGAGATGGTTGGTGGTATGTTCCAAGATGATAAAGAAGGATTCGGTAGGTAAAAAAGGTTTGAGAGCCCAGAATCAGGCATTTGAAAGATTCATTACAGGAGTGCTCAGAGCCATAACATTTCCGATGGAACCTGGAATCTTCCGAAAAGTAGATGTAGCAAACAATTCTTCTAATGCCCATTGGACCTCCTTGGGATCTAGCTTGCTAAAGAATATACTTCGGCCCCAGCTCAGTTTGAAGAAAGCTTTTAGGAAGAAGCAGAGCAAATGCTTTTTACAAATCAATTTAGTAGCAGGAGTCTAAGAATGACTAAAATGAAACAAAAATATTTTGGGGCATGTTCTGGATTCACCCTCGATTTATCCAAAGTGGCCCTGCCTCTACATTAAAACCAATTTATCTAACGGCCATGTCACTACATTTATACCAGTTTATTGGATGACCTATTAAAAAAAACAAAAAACCCAAGAAACACAAATCCCACCCTTATTTCCTCGAGCTTCAATCATGGTCATCAAACCGTGTGGTGAAAACAAAACTCAACTGAAAGACAGAACTCCGCCCGCCGCCAGCACAAAGACTTCTGGAGCTCTGCTCCGTGAGTGGATCTGCCCCTCCGAGCCTGTCCCTCTGGCTACCGACGGGCACGCCACACACAGAAGACGTCAGGAGGCCAGCAGCTGTCTTCTCAGAGTTCTTTTAATAACCAGGTTTACATTAACAGTCACTTGAGGAACTTTTTTCCCCCATTATTCTTCATCTCAGCTAAACTCAAAACACGGGTTTCTTCACGGTTCAAAGCAACAGCTTTTGAGGTTGCAGATTTGCCTCACAGCTACCACGGATCACAGGAGATTCACTGTCTGTCCATATGCACCAGACACACAACGGAACACCCACACACCAGTGTCCAAGAGGGGAAACTACAGGGAAGGCCAGTGGTCCCAAGGTCTATCTGGGACTCCAGCTGGAGTTTTCTAGGGGAGCACGCCTGGGAAACTTGTGGCCAGAATCAAAGCTAGGAAAAGCCCCACTCTGTTGGGAAGGGCTTCTCCGGGTGAGCAGAGAGGCTTGGCTGAGGAGTCAGCCTTCTGGAGTGTGGCCTGGCTTTCTGGGTGCTCTCCTGGAGAGAAAAGGTCAACAATGACCAGACTCAGAAAAGCCATTTGGGCGCTGACTGCAACCTTGCCATTTTTAAAGGAAACTTAGAGGTAAAAGAAAGTCTACTGGGGTAGGGGATGTGGGAATTCACTAAAAATACCCTCTCAACTACCCTAATCTGTGGTCCTCTCGGACCATGGGGGTTTAGAGGCAACGTGGGAAGGTTAGGAAGCTGGCAGGGGGATCCTTAGGAAGGGGCTGGGGGGACATAGCTTGGGCGGAGGCAGAAGACTCACCACACATCGCCCTGCTCTCCAACCCCACCACCTGGGTGAGATGCAGTGAATTGTGGTAGGGTCATTACACATTGCCATCCCCCCTCCCCGAAACCTTTTTTATAGGATGTTTTGTGTGCCCAATGTAACAAAAACAATGTGGATCTCAATTTTCATTTATGTAATGTTACCCCGCAATCGAAGTGTAGAAAGCAGTGGGAGCTTTCTTTCTCTTTTTTAGAAGAGGGGTGGGGGATTCTCGGGATTTTCTAAGCTTGGGAAGTTACTAATGGTACGTGAAGAAAGGGAGACGTTTCCCATCCTGAAAATATTATGGTGATGTCCCTGCAACGTGGAAGGCTATGCAGAATATAAGGTTCTGGTTGAAGGCTTCATTTCAGAAGTCCCAAGTACAGTTAGGAGGGCCATCGAAGAGGTCTGGTCATGGCATGCAGAGAGCACCAGAGCATTAGCAAATGGTGCAGTATTTCTGTGTCTTTCCCTCCACCTGCTGGTTGTGGCTGGTACTACTACATATACTAAAGCACAGTGTGGCCAATGAGGTATATGTATGTGTCAGATCTGACAGATGCCCTCTCCAGGGCAACACTGTCCTTCTGGGCTCTTTGATACTCCAGCTCTTTGAATGATAAGCTATATCCTTTCCTTCATTTGTCTCCCTTAAAAGAAAGCTTGAAAATGTCAAGACTCCCCATCATGAGGAAGAATGATCCTTTTCGTGATGAGAACAGAAGTTCGCTTACTAGTGGGGAATGCTATTCCTTGGCCATTTCCAAACCCCTCTGGAGCCATTTCTTCCCTTTGTTCCAGCCTTCAATTTACTAAAGCTTTTGGTCTGAGATCATGGTTTCTCCTGAGCACTCGGAGGGTGTGTGGGAGGCCCGGCTCTGCTCTTCAGAGAACTTAGCCCCCATGGCCATGGGTTCCACCCGAATGTGATCCGGGACCAAATGCATTTTTATGTTATTTATTTGTTTTTGCATATGGGCTCAGGGTTCCAGATCCTCGCGTTGCTCACAGCACCCCCATCCCCCCAAAACCAAAACTCTCAGAAGTGGCATGGTGGGGAAGGGATATTCAACCCTGGCAGACACGGCCTCAATGTGCCTGCCCCAGAGGGCCACATGCCACTTCCACTTGTGGAAGTATGTTGGGGCATTTTTGCCTCAATACAAATGGGCGCCCCCCCCCTCCCCGATCTGATAATGGGATCTGCTCACCCAGGTAGCTGAAGAGAGGAAAGTGGAACCAGGGCTGTATAGTGTGCCCCCATCTGCTCAAGATCCCCTTTCCCGAGTCCTGAATCCCTGCTCTACTCCCACATAAGCTGAGTTAACAACTGGCGGTAAAATGGAAAGGGCTCTGAATAAAGCAACTTTCCATAAAAAATTGAAAGGAAAAAAAAAGATCCTATTCCAGAGGGGATGCGCCTAGGCCCCAGGGGATCAGGAGAACCTACGGGTCCCCACTGGTAAAGGACAGCCTTCACTCAGCCCCATCTGAACAAAGCCCCAAACAAGTGATGACTTTGCAGAGGCTGGAGAGTGCTTCCATGGAGGCAGTGTTTAAGCTGCGGGTGCCCTCCCCAGGGCCTCTCCTAGCTGTTTCCATTGATGAGCGCCAAGGAGGCTGGCAGGGTGACAGGAAGAAGGGGTCCTCAGCTCTCTCACTGCCATCCTTCCAGCCCAGGGACAAGGCGGAGGGAGAGTGCCACAGCACAGCCCGGCACGCTCACACAGGGGAGGGAAGGGTTGGTATTTTGGGTTTTAATAACATGTTCAAACAAGGACTAAAATCTACGAGAGGGGACATGGCAAAGGCTGAAACAAAGACCGGCCTGCCTTCTCCACAGGGCGAGGGGACCCTGGTGAAGAGGCGGCTGCCACAAGTGACCATGGAAATAAAAGTATGTTGTCAACACAATACACAACACCCCCTTCAGCTCACCCAGCCCACCCACCTCCCTCCTCGAAGCCCCACCCTGACCCCTCTGTGTTCTCCACCCTGCTTTGGTCCCCCCACCACCCCCACACCCAAAATCACTTGTGACCCTTCTGTTTGTTTTCCTGACCTCCCGGCTTTGTCTGTCCCCTTGTCTTAAGATGCAGCACTACACACGCGCTCAACACTATATAGCAGACTCTGTACCTTAGTGGCCTGTCTGATAGCATGCATGTAAATGGGGGGAGGGCATCAACCAAATCAAGACTATGCATCAACAGAAAACAAAGCAATACTCATAAAGCTAGCCAAGCGAGCGTAACATTGGAGAAACATAAGGCTTGAGGCTTATCGATTCTTTAGATCACAACTGTTTGGATTCGCTTTCCTTCCTAAATATCGATGTACCATTTTGGCTTCAAAAAAATTTCTTCTTGCTTTTCCGCCCCTTCTCATTGGGAAGGAGTTGCTTAACTCAAGGATGTGATATTGGAACGGCCTCCAGGGGGCGCCACGATGCGCTTGCTGGCAGAGCGGACTCCCTCATCCACTTGGGTGCCTGCCATCAGGAACGAAGTCACAGGGTGGGAGAAGAGAAGAGAGGGGAGGGGTGCACAAGAGACAGGCTGAGTTAATTTTGAGAGTGTAAGGTGGTATACACCTTCCTGGGCTAAATCCCCAGGAGACTGCCGTTCTAGACTAGCAGGTCCTCTACATGGTTCATATCACACCCTCCCCCAGACCACCCTCTACCAGGAAAAGCCCAGTCCTCAACCCGACTTCATCTTCTCTCAGCATGGTCATACGCATAAGAAGCGAACAGTGATACAGGATATTAACAACAGCAGCGTACACCTTCGGTGCTTGTCAAATTCTCTCATTTCTTCCTCATCACTACTCTTCGATGGGAGTACTGTGTCTCATTTTCCAGGGGAGGTAAATAAGGCTCTAAGAGGTTAGATAAAAGACCTCACAACTTAGTAAGAGGATGGCCAGGTTCCTGTGGCTGCAACACAAAAGGAAACGGTAATGGGTCCTTGTACCCATTTAGAGCAAAACTGAAACAAAACCCCGAAACCCACCACTGCCAAGAGTTGGTTCCAATTCACAGGGCTTCCCAGGTTGCAAATCTTTATGGGAGGAGACAGCCTCATCTTTCTCCAATGGAGTGGTTGATGAGTTTGAACTGCCAACCTTGAGGTTATCAGCCCAATGCCGAACCTACAGTGCTAGAAGAAAACCTCTAAGAGTTGAAGGATCAAGCCCATCACAGAGCAATGGAAAATGGCTGAAAAGGTCTTGTGACAGGCAGAATGTGAACTCTGGTAACGGCACCTCACAAGCCTAGCTCTTCTCCTCTTGTCTTTCTCCCACCACCACCCCAGCTTTTCTCCTGGCTTTCCGGTTTCTCCCAACCTTCAACCTCCTCCCTTTCCCCATTTGCTGGAATGTTCCCTTTAAAGATCTCTTTTCATTTCTGTCATCTCCTCCCCTTCCGTTCACAATGTTCACACAGCCACATTTTATTTTCTTAAAGAATTACTTTCTTATTAGTTTCACTATAATAACAATCAGCAGGTAACATACATGGAGCAATTTCCAAATGTCAGGCACTGGGCTATCAGATTTCAATACGTTTCCCACTTAAATTTCAGGAGACCCCTGTGGAGTAGGTGCCACCTTTGTCTGCATTTCGCAGGTGAAAAAGAACGTAGACTCAGAAACTGGGCCTTGCCTAAGAACCAAATTTGGAGTCGCATCAACATCTGGCAGATTTCAAAGTTGACTGCATCATGTTAATTTGACACTGCCTATGTAGATGTTTTCCCCCTTCCTTGGTTAAAATAAATAACACGAGAAAGTGTATACAACGGAAAGAGCACAGGGCTGGGTCAAAACCTCTGTTCTAAAATTCCTAGTGTTAGCGGTATCAATATTTGGGATAATTCACTTGTGGCGGGTGCCCTATGCCTTAGAGGATGTGAGCGGCATTCCCAGACTCTGCCCACTTGATTCTGGTAGCTTCCAATCCCAGTTTTGACAGCTACAAAGGTCTTCCACATTGCCAGGTGCCTCCGTAGGGGCAAAAGCTCCCCAGATAGAGAACCAGTGTTCTGTCTGTGGCCTCCTGCTTCTGATTGGTCACGTGATACCATGAAGCCATGCATCTCTAACCACATTCCCAGCTCCAAGCCCTCTGTCCAGACCTCTGTCCAGACCAGCTTGTCTAAAAAACAGAGTAAGACCCACGTACAATGTCCGCGAAACACATGGAACGTGCCACAAGAAGATCGCTGTAATCATGTACTCCACTCTACCACCATATCCAAAACTACCATTCTAACATGTAACCAATAAAAATCATTACTAAGGAGGTGTTCCCTTTCCCTCCGGGACTACACTGTTGAATTCCAGCTTGTCTCATTTTACACCGATGGCCCCCTCCGTGTGGACCGGCCACGTTTCTAGCGTGTACATAGCTCCATGTGACTAGTGTCCGCATTTGGACAGAAGAACTTTACATTTTTGCAACAGTTAAGTTGCTTTTCAATGTGGTTCTCCTCACATTTCTTCCTCAGGGGTAAGGGGCACTCAAGAAATGAACTCCAAGGCTCTTCTAACCCTTGGTTTGCAGTGCGTGGAGCAAAAGGCACTTGGCTGCAGGGATTTTCATTATAATTGGAAGGCCCATGTGCTTGTCGGTTGCACCCTGTCTCTCCCTCCTCAATCTAATCTCATCTGCTCTTGAGTCTGGGCCCTCTCTTTGTTCTCCAGCAACACCGAGTTAAGCATGTTGTAAGGCTATGGGAAGTATTTCTTAATAGATCTCCCAACTACTTTTAAAAATGACCAAAAATGGCATAACCTTAATGGAAGAGTCATAATTTTTAAAAAAATCAGCGCCACCAAGGTGCAGAGAGGCTACCAGTTTGAGGTGTTGGCGTTAAGCAGAGGCGGCCTGAGCAGCCCCTCCCCAGCACATAAGCTGCTGAATTCAGGCACGTTAGTTACATCAGCTGAGTCTCAGCTTTCACGTCTGTTCAACGTGACGAATACAACAGGCCACAAAACGTTCTTGGGCAAATGGAATGAACAGAGAGTAGAACTCTTCCGTCAACTTTTTAAGATGGCATTTTTTTGGTGGGGGGAGGTATTGTATCAGAGTTGTTCAAGAGTAGATAAGATTAGTGATCATGTGAACACATGGTGCATGTCCTAACAATGGCAACTAGAGTCCTTTTGATTATGAGAAGGAATAATAATTTTCATGGAAAACCTAAGAGAGAAGACCCTATTGCGATGTGAGCATCATAATCATCTAAGCTATCTGCTGTTAGCTTGGGAAAACAGGCTACAGCTCAGTCCTCCTAGTCTAACAGAGGAAAATCATTATCTGTTCATAAGCAAATGTATCTCTGCACCTCAGAGCTGAGGGCTGTAGGGAATTCATCATCATGTAAACCTGACTCTTTAACCTAAGTGGGCTGTGCCTTACTTATCAACAGGACTCCTTGTTGATTCAGCAAACCTCCTTGCTTGCCTTCTCACAACTGGTGATGCCTGCACTGGACAGGAACATGAGTTCAGGTTTAACTTGCAGGGTCCCATGACCCTAGATCACTAAGGTCCTGATCAGTGTGTCCGACTTACCTGATAGGCTAAATCCCGACTGATGGAGATTCCTCACGGGTGGGTTGGGCCGAGTGGGAGAGCCCCGTGTGGAGCCTGCAGGGGTCCCGCCTTTGGGGGTGGTTGTCAGGTCAAACACCGGTCCATCATACATGCCCCTTGGGACGGCGTGCAGGTCTGCCATCTGCCACAGAGAAAGCAGATCATCATGTACTCATGCCATAAGCACTTATTCTAAGGAACATAAAAGTGATAATAGACATGTACTGGTAGGAGTCCTGGTGGTGTAGTGGTTATGCGTTGGGCTGCAATCCACATGGACAGCGGTTAGAAACCACCAGCAGCTCCGAGGGAGAAAGACTGGGCTTTCTACTCCTGTAAACAGTTACAGTCTCAGAAACCCACAAGGGGTTTCTACAAGTCAGCCTTCACTCAATGGCAGTGAGGGTTTTTGTTGTTGTTGCTTTTTTGGGGGGGGCGGAGATACAGCCAATACCTTAAAAAAGCAATAATTTAAGGAAGGGAGAAGTAGTACAAGATCGAGAAAGGTGCCATGTAGAGTGACCACTGAGGTGGTCAGTGATGGACTCCTGAAGAAATCTGTTCTCGTCTGAGAGTCACAGGAGCTGGTCTGGGCCAGGATGCAGAGGCGCGCTGAGGAGGCAGCATCACCCACCCAGGAAGGCACTGTGCATAGGAACAAAGGGGAAAGTGCTCAGGGAAGGAAGGGCGCGGCCAGGGCAGCGTGAGCCGGAAGGGGAGCAGCTGGATGCTATTAGCGTCTAAGTCAGCACAGGGTCGCCCAGTTCATAACAGCCACAAAATGACAGTTATGAAGAGGAGTTACCCAACACGAGGAACTGTATTAAAGGGGTACGGCATGAGGAAGCTTCAGAACCACTGCTCTACGCATTGTTCTCTATCAAAACTCAACCGGGGACCTTCAGAAGTGGATCCTCTTCACTCACTTCCTGGCACCCTTGCCTCCCTGCTTTCATACATGAGGTAAGAACTAGACTCTGATTTCACAGTCCTGGGGCCTAATCTGCCCCCGTCACATTATGGCTAGTTCTTGGCTGGTGCCAATGGTCAAGCACTTAAGAGCTATCCAGTCGCAGAAGAAAGGCCTTATAATCTACAACCGAAAACTAACCATTGGAAACCCAGGGGAGCACAGTTCTCGGACACACAGAGGGCTGACATGAGTCAGAATGGTCTCCACAGCGGTGGTTACATGCAGGTGACCTGAGGCTTGCTGAAGGAGACGTTAGTGGGCATGTTGAAAAGAAACAGCGCTCACCCCTTATGCTCACAGGAGCCGCTCTATTGGTTTGTCTTATATCCCTGCTGCCAACATGCCCAGCCGTTGGCCGGTATTTCTTCACAGGCGCAGACTCAGCTACAAGACTTACAACCGCTTGCCCATGTGGAACAAGACTAGACTGGGTGGTAGCACCACAGATGAGTGGGGGGAGCTGTAGGTCTAATGTTATGTCTTCAAGAATAATTTTTTCACATATATCTTCATAGATTATTCTGACAAAATTCAAAATTTTTCCAAACAAAAGCACTAGAAAATAGGGAGGAAAGGGCTCAGGAAAATCGTTCTTCATGCTTTTTTGAAACCCAGCATTAGAGTACATTCAGTTTGTGCCACTGCTGTGAGTTTCTTTATGAAGATCGGGAGGACAAGTGCACACGCGCGTGCACGCACACACACATGCTGTAGACTTGATTCCAACTCACGGTGACCCCATGGGGTTATAGAAGATGTGCACTTCTCAATGTTTTCAATGACTGACTTTGTAATACTAGATCTCCAGAAGTTCCTTCCAACAGGCCTCTGGCTTAAGCCAAATCTCCAACGTTATGGTTCTGAGCTGAGCATGTTGCTACGGCATCAGCTAGGGACTCCTAGTAACACCGCGCCCATCACTGCTGCTGACTTGACTCCAAAGCCGAGGGGTCTTGTACAGGGTTTCCGAAGCTGTAAGTCTTTCCAGGAGCAGACAGGCTCATCTTTCACTCAAAGAATCGCCCCCCTCACTCCACAACTTCACCTGCCTTTCAGTTCGCAGTACAGTGCTGACCCATAGTGCCACCAGGACTGACAGATCCCTGTCGATTCCATGATTATCCCCATGTCTGAATGGGACCCTGAGCTCAACCTGCTCCTTACCTTCCTCCTGGCTTTAATGCGCTTGTAGACATAGTCCGAGAACGGGCTGCAAGGGATGAAGCGGCCGGCTCCCTGGGTCACATGTAGGTTGCCATCCTCCATCATGATCTTGCCCTGGCAAATTACAACCAGGGGAGCCCCACGAAGCTCCATCCCCTCAAAGATGTTATACTCCGCCACCTAGAGATGAGAGTGGGGAGACGAGGGACACAGGTCAGGGTGCATAGGAAGGAGAGAAAGAGGAATGCGGTCCCTCTCGGGATCCTGCGTCCAGAGTTGCTAGCACCTGGTTCACCACGTATCGTGGCCTCGATTAGATTGCCCCCAAATGGACTTGGCTGGACCATAATTCTCCGTGCTTTGACAGTTATGTAATAAGGCAATGTGGCAGTCATAAAAGGAACCACCAAGATGTAATCTGATGTAAAAGGATTAAGGTGGGACACACCAGGCTAAGTCTACCACAGCCCTGGTCCAATGTGGGGGGATTCCCTTAGTCTTCTAAGAGACTAAAGGAGAGAGAAGCGCTCAGAAGATCCACTGCCACCAAGACAGCAGAGCTCGGATCAAGGGCACAGGGTCCTTGCCCTGAGAACCTAGACCTCAGAGAAAGACAGCCTTGCTCACGGGTCAGCATACTGAAAAGGGCTTCTAGCCTTCTCAGCTGAGGGCGGATAAATTCCTGGGTGGAGGTCATCCCCTTGTGGCATTTCTGCAACAGCAGCATTGGATAACTAGGACTCTGGGCATATCAGGAAAGGGCTAGCTGCATCAGCAACTGGTCAGTGGGTGGAAAGTACCAGGGGACAGATGCCTGCTAAGTAAAGACTGGACATCCCAAGAGAGAGAGAGAGAGAGAAAGGTGCCCCATCTTCAGCAAAATCCTTATGTGGAAGTGGATTTTTGACACTGGCGGTGTTGAGGGAGAAGGTGGGTCACTGTCAGGGATGCTGATGTGACAAGCAAGCCTTGGGTGGGCAGGTGAGTCAGAGGAGCTGGAGTTCCCTCCAGCTAGGTGTCAGTGCAAAAATGTGATATGATACAGACGTAAGCAAGGACGGTAATCTCCGAAGATGGTGCTTCCCCCCTCCCCCTCCTTCCTTCATTATTCAATCATGGCATTATTACAAAATGGCGAGCCATGTCTGTTTGGGTTCAAATCCTCACTTCAACCTTTACTCACTGCGTGACTCTGTGCAAGTGATTTAAATGGGAAGAATGAGCACATCTTTCCATGGAAGAGTTTTAGTCAGTGCAGTGAAATTCGGCACAGTGAATTTTTAATAGCACAGTGTGAACAACATAAACCCTTTAAAATGGTAGCTACTTTTACTATCTTTTACTAACGAGTATTAAGCCCCTCTCTGTCAGGCACCAGGCTGACATGGTGTGCCCATCTTTCACAGGAAATGCCTCATGAGGAAATTCTAGGCTTCTTTCCTCCTTCCATTCACAAAGCATCATGGCGATCCCTGCCCTCCAGAACTCTGGCATCGCCATCTGATGAGCTGTGGTCAATCAAATGGAAGAGAAAGTGGTGCACCAGTTACCACACTGTTTCCCTTTCTGCGATAACGCTAGCACATGTAGCAAAGGAGCCTGCCTCTGCCAGCCTCTGTCCCCGAGGGCCGATGAGGAGGAGAGACCTTTTGCTGACCCACTTTGGGAGGTCTGAGTTGATGCATCAACGTTGGGGGCGCTCAACCACTGAGATGATGACCACCTAGCCTGGTGTAAACTGCTATGGTGCATGCACCACACAGGTGGTCTCTTCCTGACCAAGGGCTTTGCTGGCCTTCCCCACCAGACTCAGCTCCAGCCTCACCGACTGGTGGTTCTTTGCAGAGACGATCTTCACAGCATCTGGATCCCAGATGACCAGGTCGCTGTCGGAACCGACAGATATCCTTCCCTTGCGAGGATATAGGTTGAAGATCTTAGCAGCGTTTGTGCTTGTCACCGCCACAAACTGGTTTTCATCCATCTTCCCCGTGGCCTAGTATGGTAGTAATCAAGAGTAAAGAAGGTTTGTCAATGTGCGGCCCTTGAGCTCAAAGCAGGGTGACTACAAAGGCCCTAAAATCGAGGGGTTTCTGCGGTGGTGAGCACAGGGCCTCTAGGACGTGAGGCGCTGTCATGGGTGGCTATCTGGGTGACACAGCTAAGCCGTGACTCATGATGGGCATGAAGCCCAGTCAAACCCATTTCCACGAAGCTGCTTTCCAATCATAGTGGTTCTACAGGACAGGGTAGAACTGCCTTGGAGAGCGTCCTAGCCTGTAACCTTCACAGGGATGGACTGCAACCTCTTTCTCCCCTGGAGTGGCTGGTGGGTTTGAACTGCTAACCTTTTTGGTTAGCAGCTTTGTGCTTAGCCCATTATGCCATCCGGGCTCTGGTGGGTGTTACCACTACTGAGATGCTCGCGGTCGGGATATGTGCATGTGTTTCCTACTCTCTGAGCCCTCTCATTCCAAAAGGTCTTGTTGAGAAGTCACACAAAACACAAACATGTTTATGATTCCATTTTACTTATAGGTGTCTGTATTTGAATGTGCATAGGATCAATATGGAAGAACAATGTCCAACAGACAGGGTTTGTCTAGCATTAGGGATGTAAGACTGATTTTTGTCTTCTTTACTGTGTTAGTTTCTTCTGATTGCCCGGTGTTCTTTCTCAAGCATACTGGAAATGAAATGATATGTAAATCATATAACAGATAGATTCATAAATCTTCAATAGGATTAAAAAACAGACAAAGTTAAGCAAGAACAAGGAGATGAGACAAACATACTAGTATTTCCCTCTCCTTTGGAAAACAAAAGGACTAGGAGAATAGTAAAGACTTGACCTTCAAACCCAGCTTTCCCGATTCTGGGAAACCATACGGGGATGGAACCTCAGTGGTCTACACTGTGCAGATGTCTGAGGCATTACTTCATTCCTATCCATTCCATTTGGCTCTAAAAGGAATCTGTCTTCTGGGTTTTTAAAAAGAAAACGAAGGGACATGATCAAGCTAACAACGGGTGAAGTATTAGGTTTATGAGGATCCTTACAAATGTCTTGATTTGTGGGGCTCTTTCCTTTCAGGCATTGTGGAGTTGCCCAGGAAATTGCCATCGGGCCATACAGACAGAAGCCGCTGAAAAGCAGTCACTTTGGATGTCCACACACTTTCAGTCTAGGAAGAGCATCAACTCTTGGGTAAGATGACTGCAGTCTATGCATAAACCCATTTCTCGATATATTTAGAGTGACTGACATACATCCCTTCCCAAAGAAACCAGGAGATTCTCGACACGACAATACTTGAATGCACTATTTCTGCTTCAAGCACAGACCGTCCACACCTCTAGAATCTAGAGTCTAAATGAAGGATCTTCATAGGGGTTTTCTAGGCTTTAAGAGTCTAGATAAGGAGGCCTCTTCAAATCCTAGACCTCAGGATTCAATAATCTAGATCTAGAAGGTCAATTCTGAAGCACCTGAGCTATCTGGTCCCAGACACACCTGAGCAAGTATGAGAGGCTTCATCTCCATAGCTGACCCATCTGAGAGACAGGGAGGAGGACACTACATGAACACTGTCACACCTCTCCTGCATGGGAGGCTCTGAGTGAGCCTTTCTCTTTCTGGCCATCTTCCCATTCCCTCCGTCCCTTACCACAGCCTTGTCCCAGATAACTGACATCCGCTCCTCCACACCATTGGTGCCCTCCGGAATGGCTGTGAAGTTGTCCTTGCCAATGGCTTTCTGGGCAGTGCTGAAGGTGCAGTGGGCACTCCCAGAGAGTTGGAGGTCGCCACTGCCAAAGAGAGAAACTCCGCATGAGTGGGAGATGTGGTTAGAGACACCCTGTAGGACCAGAAGCGGGTGTGGTCTAGTGTAAGGATTTGGAGTCTGCGGGCTTGAGCTTGGCATCCCTGCTTTACTTCTTTACTCGCTGTCTGAGCTTAGGTAACTTTCTTTCTCTCCTGGGAAAGGCAGTGAGATTAGAGCATCTCTTTTGTCACAAAATAATTGGGATCCAAATGCATGCTATGACTGATGTGCCAGCAGAGGTCAGTTGGAAACAAGTCCCCCTCTAAATGTTGGTATGTGGTCATCATGACCAGCTGGGAAAACTCAGGTCAGCGAGGCTCAATCGCTAAGTCTGTCGCAGAGTCTGTCAAATGGTGGTAACAGTACCTCACACACAAAGTTGCTAAGAGGAATGAGTAAGGCCAAGTGTGTATACTCTTACCACAGTACTTGGCACACATTCATCAACTGCTGTTAACCATGATTGACATTGCTGTTATTGCTAGCTGCTAATAAGTTGGCCCCATCCCATGGAGCCCCTATACTCCATGTGAGGGGACCATTGTGACCATAGGGTTTTCATGGGCTGATTTTTATACTTAGGTCACCAGGCCTTTCTTCCTACTCTGTATTACTCTGAAAACTCAGCCAAGCTCTACTGAGCAGCAGAGCTCCATGGACAGAAGAGCCTGGCCCGGAGGCGCACTAGCTGGGAATGAGCCCAGGTCTCCTGTATGGGTTTTACTACCACCGTATTTCTAAATCATGAGAGGGGATCATTTATTTCTCTTCTCCACACTGCGGGAGAGACAATTCTTTCACTTCATTTTATTGTGTCGCTGTCGCTGTCCCTGTTGAGAACAGACACCGAAGGGCATCCCTAAGTCAACAACCTGTACGTACATCTAGGGACACCAATCACCGCAAGTCATGGAGCTGCTCTCGCCCTTCCTGCCCGGTCACTCACTGTCCCTTCTTTTCGCGTGTTTTGCGTTACTGCTGGCAGTTTGATCCCACATAGTTCTTCAAAGAGTACGAATACTAAGATGTTGCTTGGTTTAAAGGTCTCAGAGGATATTTGGGGGTTTAAGGCTTAGAGATTATCTCAAGGAAATAGTTTTGGGAGGGTTCATGAAGCATCAAGAAAGTCTGGAGCCCAAATTTGAAATTCTGCTCTGTACCCCCCACCCACCCCCAACCGTTGAGCAGGATTGTTGTACTGCAGCAAAGTGATCAGTAACGGTACTAGGCACCTTGCAGTTCTTTTGGTCTCATGGCAAAGAAGGCGACTATTGAGTCATCGGGGGAACGAGCTACATGAATGGAAATGTTCACTCGAGCCCCTCATCTAGCTAACGGATGTGGCTGCTCCAAACTCCATTCCAGCAGTCTCGAGGTGTTTCCACACAACGCCTGAACCCACCTGGCCAGCAAAGAGTTGATGTAGTCAGGAGTGGTTGGGTCAGGACTCAGAGGGGGCGATGTCACAAACGCAGCGGCCTTGGCCCAGTTCTTGCTCCAGTAATGGGTTCCATCTGTGCCAAGGCTGGCAGTGATTGGCTCGCCGAAGACCACATTTCCTGGAAAGGGCAGGGAACAGGTTTGCATGAAGAATGTTCTGCAGCGGGTTCAGCTGAGATGAGCATCCCTCCAAAGCCCAGTCAGGGCCGTAGCTCTGGAGTCAGGCTGGCCTGGGTGCACATCAGGGCTCCCACCTTTTCTCAGACTCCGCTTTTCTTTCTGCTAAGTGGAGACAAGTTTGTATTTCCCAGTTTAGATGGCGCCATTGATTAGAAGACACACCTCTAGTTCCCACACTTGGTGCAAATTAGAATTGGAGACACAAGAGAGCTGGGTTCTGTTACAGGGCTCACACTCATTTCAGAAAGGTGGAACCATGTAGGACAGGTCTGTACTCTGGCACTGGCCTCAGGAGAGACCCATGTCTAGACAAGGACATCATGCCCGGTAAAGTGGAGGGACAGCGGAAAGGAGGAAGGCTCTCGATGAGATGGCATGACATCATGGCTGCAACAGTGGGCTCAAACGTAACGAGAACCGTGCGGGGTCCTCTGCCCTCCGGACAGCCATGCATCCCAGCTGTGCACAGAATCCACGTAATGAGTCGGAATCAACTTGGCAGCCCCTGATAACAGCAGCCACAGCAAAAACAGAATGGGAAAAAATAAGATGTGAACTTCTCAGGTTTATGGTGAAAATGAAAGGATTTGGCATGTGTGAAGTGTCTGGCACACAGTAAGTGCTCAGTTCACTCAGATTTCTTTCTTCTTACTCTTTCCTACTGAAGAAGACAAATGCCCCACATCTACCCACATCACTGGCAATAGCTAGAACCTGTGGCTACAAGAACATATTCTGGATCACAGAGTGAAGTCCATCTCCATGGTTGAGAGGCTCCCAGTTTTGTCCTCATCATGCACCTCCTTGACCTAAGGGCAAGGAGTGATTTCCTCCAGGACACATGGCGGTATGGAATACGGCAAAGGCTAACTTCTTGGAGCCTATGTCTGGCTTAGAGGCTTCCCTGCTCACACCAAGGCATGAAGAAAAGATCTAAACCTCTGTTAAGTTTTTTCTTTTAATCATTTTACTGAGGGTTCTTACAATTCTTATTGCAGTCCATACATCAATTGTATCAGGCATATTTGTACATATGTTATGATCATTCTTTTCTTTTGAGCCCTTTCTATGTACTTTCTATTGAGCCCTTGGTATCAGCTCTTCTCCTTACCCCGATCCCTAGATAGACTATAAATTATTATTCTTTTCATATCTCACATCGACCGCTGTCTCCCTTCCCCCATAGTGTCCATTGTTTTTCCCCCTGGAGGGGTGTGTGTGGTTATCTGTTAGGTTTTTTAAAAGTGAGATATTAATGCAAAAGGCCACTCGGGCTCATAGAAGTTGCTTGGTGTCAAGCTTCTCTGGACCAGAATCTCAGGCCAAAGAGGACACACCTAGCCCTGGGCTTATTGCGCTTCACTCTTCAAGGGCTATATTCCCACCCTCCTCTCAAGCCGAGGAGGCACTGGGGCCAGAATTACAAACAGGTTACGTCTTGCTTTAACCCTAATCCACTGGTAACTGGTTACCTGAAATTCCATGGAGAGGAAATTTCTAATGATGCTCTGGTCTCATTTGAGCAAACTTAAGATTAGTGATGTCTGCCACAGACAAAAGGAGGAGCGAGCAAAAGCAATTCCTAGATGGCAGCCCTGCTTGCTAGGTGGAAACAAAAAGGATCCACACATGACTGCTGAGTGCTTCTGTTTCTCCAAAAATATTCTCCCAGTTCAAGGTCACAAAAGGAGGTAGCAATGGAGGTCAAGATCTCATGAAAACAACTGCTATCTTAGGAGTGAATGAACCACCCCCTTCACTCCAGGACCATCTTGAGTATAGGAGACACAGCAACTATAATTATATCTGAGTTTGAATATTAGCTCTCCCAGCTAGGACATCCTGGACAAGTTACACTTCAGTTTTCTTGTCTGAAAAATAAGCATAATAATGCTAACCTCCCAGAGATCTTTGAGAATCCTACACAATAATACATCTAAATCTTCTAACCCAGAGCTGGGCATGTAGCCAGTGCTTGTTCAGTCGTGGCTTCCTACCATTTAGTCTAGTGGAGCTCTGGTGTGTCGTGCTTATACAGTGGGCTGCTGACTATAAGTCCCGTAGTTTGAAACCACCAACAACTAACTACTCAGGAAAAGAGGAGGTTTTCTACTCCTATAATGGGCTACCGTCTCCAAAACTCACAGGGACAGTTCTACCCTGTCCCACAGGGTTGCGATGAGTGGGACTTGACCTAACGACAATGAGTTTGAGTTTTGAACATTAATCCTGAACCACCATGCAGAGTCATAAATCAGTGCTTGGAGAGTAAACACATTAGGATTCTCTATTTAGGGAAGAGTGAAGCTGCTCCACTCTGTCTCCCTCAGCTGTTTGCTCCGGTTGCTTTCCATAAAAAAAACGTCAATTCATGTTTCCTGCCTTCAGTCTCAGCAGGGAGTTTTTCATCACCGAAACAATGCCTCCCTTCTACCCTGGAGACACAGCTGACTCATTTCTTCTAGCCTGAGACATGTGCACCAGAAGGCTAAGGGTGAGGAATTTTTCTCCAGAAAGCATGAAATAGAACCCAGCATTTAACGGAGACACCCTGTCTGTGAGGCCTCCCGCCCATCCTGAGAATGGGACCCAGCAGGATGTAGGTATGTGAGGGCAAGTGTGGCTAGTGGTTATGGTGAGACCTGGGCCATCGCCACCATCAGTGCTCCCCGCCCCCCCCTATACATATGGCATTTTTCCAGGAAGGGGAAGGAGCATTGGGTTGTTTTCCTGATTCTCACCAGATGACTCATACCCAGGGGAACCACCCCACCGTGCCCGTTGAGGCATTTAAAAACTGAGGGTAAACAGCTGACATACTGTGAGCAGGGCACTGCAGGAGGGGCCCCCGGATCTGCAAGCAAGGAAGACTCTCTAGACAGTTAGGAGGACTCCCCTCTTGCAGGAAGGAGACCCCCTTTGTCAGGAGGCCAGGCAGCGAACACTTAGGCATCAATTAGCTGAGACTAATTTTAGCTTCCTAAGCCCTCCCACTCAGCTTGACAGATGGGTTCTGAGTCGGGTAGATGAGCCACTCATGGTGGATGACTCTACCGCCACAATGCCACTGGGCCACGGCAGTAGCTACCACGCAAGGGAGCCTGGTGAATTCCCTCTTGCAAGAAAAACAGCCCCTGTGCTTCCCGTTTCTCCACCAGACTCTTCATTTACCCAACTGCTATTCCGGACCAGAACCCAACAGGTCAGCCATTCCGGACCAGAACCCAAAGCAGAAAGAAGACTTTTGAAGCGAGAGTAAAGTTCAGCAAGGCATAAAGCAAACCAGGGAAGGCCAGGTTCACAGCCACGGCTTTAAGACGTAGAATGAGAACAATGGAGAAAGACGTCCACGTGCCATGAAGATGGTGTGTGTTGAGGTGCCATTGGTGGCTGCAAACCAAGGGGTTAGAGATTTAAGCCCATCCAGCCACCGGGAGAGTAGTTCAGATCTACACTGATCTACCCGAGGTCCTCTTGGGTCAGAATACACTCCACAGCAATTGGGAACCAGTCATGAAGACCTTGCATGGAAGATGCATTCTGGAAATCAATTCAACCCTTTTCCAAAAAGAGCTGGTGTGGCTCAGGATGGCAGACAAGAGGGCTTCGAAAAGTTCATGGAGGAAATGGAATCCAAAGTCTAGGTATGCCAACTGCAGAACTCTCATTGGTTCTGGGATGAGCACATGATCCACGCCAAAACAATCATAGTCCTCCTGAGACTTCGGCTTGAGATGCTAGAGAAAGCACACTCTATTAATACCCCCACCAAGCACTGGGGACAGCAAGTGTCTCCTGGCATCTATATATGTCATTGTTTGGTCTGTATCTCCCTGAAAATGAAGTCAATGGAGGAAAGCAGAATCGAAGTCAATGGAAGAAAGCAGAAAGGAGACAGAGTCCAAAATTAGCATCATTTAAACCCCTTGATGCAGCTGTACCTGAAATATGTATATGCAATAATTTACTTTTGTTTACGCCTGTTGTAGCTGGATATTTTCACATCCAAAGTACGCTTGACTAATATATCCATTATGAAGCCCTAGTGTGTAGTCACCTAAGCACCAAGCTGCTCAAACCACATGATCAGCCGTTCGAATCTACCAGCCGTTCTGAGGAGAAAGATGAGGTTATCTGTTTCCTTTAAGACTCAAAGGCTCAGAAACCCAAAGGGGGCAGTTCTACTCTTTTGCTGAGTTGGAATGGACCCTATAGCAGTAAGGTTTTTTTCCTTGCCTTAACATACCTATTCATAAAGCTCATAATGTGACCCAACAGTGAAAAATGAAAAAATAACTGTATCAAGCTACAACATTTTAGGCAAACCTTCCTGAGCCTCAGTTTCCTCATCAGCTCAATAGGAAAAATCCTAAGATTATACCACTCACACAGAATGTGAAGAGGATCAAATGAGCTAAGATGTTTGAGGAGTTTCCTAGTGAGGTAGTTACATAATTTCACGTAAACTTGAAGATATATAAAAGTGTAGGGGTGGAGTCTAGCCTGTCAATTAGGTCACAGCCTGATGGTGACTCCTTGAGGGAATGGCCTTCTCATTAAGAGGTCTTGGGAACCTCCTCCCCTCTCTCTGCCTTCACCTTCCTGCTGGCAGACCCTGATGGCTACCAGGGCCCTTCCACTGTTATTGGATTCACATTGGGTGTTTCTGCACCTGCCAACCTGTGATCCTCCTGAATCCTGCATCATTGCATGTTGCTGACTGATCCTGAAGAGGGAATTGTGGACTAGTATCAGACTTATAGACTTGATCTTGTCTGGGCTGGGATTTTTGCTTGATATATAATACCTTCTTGGTATAAAACTCTCTCTTACACATATATGAGTGTCACTGGATTTGTTTCTCTAGTCAACCTGGCCTAACACACCCAGCGAGCAAAGCCAGAACAAAATCATTAAAATAAAATAAATAACACTGAAATAAGAGTTGATTCCAACTCACAGAAACCCATTCACTCGATGGCTCACAGTGACCCCCAAATACCACTTGTGGGTTTGGGGGACTGTAACTCTTTCTCCCCAGCAACCTTACATAACAGAGTAAAGCTACCCTGTGGGGTTTCCCAGACCATACTCTTTATGGAAGCAGAATGCCCTCTCTTTCTGCTCACAGGTTCAAAGGACTGCCGTTGAGGTGCGCAGCCGCACAGTTAGCTCACCGCACTGCCGGTGATCCTTTGAAAAGCACAACAGGTGGCACCTCTACATGGCAAACAGGGATGCAAGGAGCCGCCTGGCCTGCCTGACATGCGGACATGCGTGCAGCACAAATCACCTTTCTTCCTGGCTTGGGAGATGAGATCAGCTGCACTCTTGCTCATGACCTTGGTGATGTAGAGAGGGCAGTTGGTTTGGCTGGCGATGGTGATGGCACGGAACACAGCCTCCGCTTCCAGCTGCAAAATAAAAGTCCCCACGAGTCAATAGGAACATGAGCCTCTTAAACCCATTGCTTCCTTGCCAACACAAACAGAGAGAGCAGTGCGGTGCAGAGGTTAAGAGTCTAGAATCCAAACTCTAAGTCTACCATTTCCTAGCTCTACCACTGATGACCTCACCGTGTGTAATGTAGGTAGGGAGAGTGTAAATAAAGCCGTGGGAGAGCAATGTCTGGCCCAGAGAAGAAGCTAGTGAACGTGAGGAGCTATTCCTTAGTCTACTGTCCCCAAAGCTACATACAAACAGAAGTCTTTTGTTCCCAAACACCCCAGGACAGATGTTCTGAGACAACACAGTCACGTCAGTGGGCCTAGAGTAACCAGCAAAGCCCGTAGGCATCCCCTTGGCCCAACCCCTTCCCTGTAGCCCTGAGTGATCAGCAAAGGGTTAATTCCAGGAAGCAGTTCTTATAACAACAATTCTCAGGCTGCTCGGCACAAAGCCTTCTTTTGTTACCCAGCTCGTCCACGCCACCCTCATGCAGAATTCATGTTTTCTAATGGCTAATTGGCACAGTTTCCTATAGTAAGTAACAAATAATGAGCTGCTCCCAACTTTATGAACAGAGATAGCTGCATCCTCTGCGATGGCCTGGGTCCGACTCCAGGGTCTGCCACTTACTGGCCGTGGGGATCTCACGGACCTCCAAGGCTTCATTTCCCTCTCAGTAAAGCTGGGACACTAACAGACCCTGAGTCTTGTGGCTGCTGTGCGGATTAGGCTAAACCTTGTAAGGCAATGAGCTCTCTCCTGGACAAGGTCAGTGCATCCAGGTCTACTTCAAGGCAAGGAAAGCCCTGAATAATAATAACAATAGTACGGATAACCACTGGTACTATTGCTGGTCCCAGTTTCTCCCAAATGTCAGAGAATCGGTGCTACCAGTATTGCCAACGAGCCCCAGAGCTGAGGCATTTGACATTTTTTTCCTTTCAATCAGCAACAGTTAGTGTTTGCCTGGGTGGTAAGCTTGTGAGGCCCAGCATTTTATAAAAGGCCCAAAATAGGTTGCAGACGCAAGCTAGTACAGAATACAAACCAGTCCCTGACCCTGGTGCTTGGGACACAGTCCAGGCTCTGAGCACTTGGGCGGGGACCGCACCCCTGGCCTGCACTTTGTTCCGGGTGGATGAGGCCCTGAGGCCTGTGAACACACAGGTGAGTGCCTGGTTATCTCACGGCCTTGGGTCCCAGCTCCCCGAGTGGCATCACTGGTATCACTCATTGGAGATGGAGCTGGGTGTGCTGAGAATTGAAAAAAATGGCTCCTCCTGTGCTCATTCCATCCTCCTCACACCCCTGCTGACCACTTCAGCTCCCCGTGACCTCCGGCAGGCCCCTTTGATCTCTGGCTCTCTCTGGACGGCAGGTTTTCCAGTGTGCTGACAACATGACTATCTTTGGAAAGTTACATCACCCTCCAACTTCACCCACAAGGCTTCCAAGGTTGTAGAGATCTGCGGTGGGGAGGCTTTCTACTAAAAAGGAGACGGAACTGGGAAAGGGTGGAGATGGGGGCGGGGTGGGGGGGCTGAAAAAACAAACCAGGGAACAAAAATAGCCTTTGCTCTGAAATCCCCTGGCTGCTGCTGGAAAAACCCATCTTGCCAACACATCTATCTCTACAGTGACCAGCGACTAAGACAAGTGTCACAGGTAATGCTGCCCACACTGGCCCGCTCGTGCTGTGCCCAGTGCCCCAGTCCTTCCAGCATCCCAGTCCAATGGGATGATCTCTCTGGGCTTCGGCTTCCTGAGCTGCTCAATTGGCACAGTAAAGCCAACTTCTCGGAGCCCTGGCAAGGACAGTCTGGACAGTGCATGCAATGATAGCACAGTGCTGGGTACAAGAACGTACTCATTGAAAGCCCTACCCAAACCCATTGCTCTTGACTGAATTACAGCTCCCAGCAACCCTAGAGGACCAAGTGGAACTGCCCGATAGGGTTCCTAAGGCTAAAGACCTTGATGGCAGAAGTGTGCCGCATCTTTCTTCAGGAGAGTGACTGGTGAACTTGAACTACCCACCTTTCAATGAGGCCAAGCACTTAACCCCTGGGGCTCCAAACTCATTGTCCAAAATCAAGCTCATTGCCACCGAGTCATTCTGATTCATGGTGAGCCCTTGTGAAGGGACCTGGGGCTATCAACACGATAGAGAGGCTTCTTGGAAATGCTGTGTGAATCACATCCCGATCACAAAACTGTAAATTCTTTCAAATGGTTAGAAACACATGATTGGACCCAAAGATATTTCAAGGATGCTGAAAATGTTGCTCAAACTGGGTACTGGCTGCGCAACTATATTGAGGTTGTGAAAATCCCTTGCACCTCGATGCTATTCCGCACTCATTCCTCTGTGTTGCATTTAATGTTTCAAAGACTTTTGAAAATACCATTTCAGATGGGTAATGGAAGTGCAGTCATTTCTGATTCTGGCTTCTTCTACCATTTATAGAATTTAAAACTTGGAATGACAGGGCAGGGATAGGACAGGCAGGGTCTTGAATTGGGGCTAGGTCCAGACTAAGGCTAATTTCCCAAAGCCAATCTGCCATCTGCCGTACAGCCCCTCAATCCCCAGCTCTAGGCCCTGCGCCAGCAGCTCGAGTTCCCGCCATCCCAGACCTGTGGACTCAGCTCCTTGTTAGCTTTCCGTGTCTCTATAACTGCGGAGCACAGACTCAGACCACCACCCAGACATGGGACACACGAGGACCTGGACACCATCACCTTAGACCAATGGATAAGTATGGCACCTAGGAAAAATCCTTTCAACCTCCCCCCTGTGGTCAACACCCTGTGGGAAGGCCATGGAATGTCGTAGAAGGGAGGACAGCTGTGAACTTGTCTCCATGGCCACTGGTTAGCAAAGGGATGAGCAAAGCCTCACTCCGACTGCATGGCTGTACGGCACATTCTCCCTTCCGTTATCTTTAGAGCGGTCAGAAGCAAGCACCTCTATGTATAACTCTCTCATTCCCTCAGGACCTCTGAACTAGGGACCACCTGAAGTGGTTTCTGAAAGATATACTGCATTATCGCTGTGTGGTATTCATAGACCCTCACCTTTCAGGATGCTCACATGTACATTTGGGGGGGAGGGGTATTCAGGAAAGGTGGTCTCAAACCCAGTATATAGTGAGCTGTAGAAACGGCTAGAAGGTGATGCCAGAAGTCTCTTGGAAGCTATTGCTAAAGAAAAGAGCTTCCGCGGCTGCTACTGCTCTCTCTCCCTCTCCCACCTCCTCCAATGCCTTTGCCACTTACCTCCTCTGGTCTGCTCAGTACATGGCCTTCTGGGCCAGTTATCCCCATTTCCAGCATCCGAGTTTGTTCCTAGAATGGTAATAGACAGTTCTGAAATGAGTTCAAGGGAGTCTTGGAGAAGTTCAGCAGTGTGCCCTGCTCAGAGACCCTCAGTGGAAAAAGAGAAAAATAGACATGTGTATGTTGTGAAAATGAATGTATTTGGAATTGCAAAATAGACTGGAGATGTTATTAAAAGAAGAAAACGCTATCTAGGGATGGCGTGCTACTACACAAGGACTCAGTCTGGCAGTATCAATGTGTCCTCTACATTGTCCATCAAATGTCACACCAGCTCATGTACTCTCCATCTTTTTCAAGCCTAGTGATATGAAGGTGCATTTGGTTAATGTGCTTGTTTATGAATTCCTTCATTTCAGGGTCCATGCATTCAACACAATGTATAATATATCTGCTTGTGCTCCATTCTGGGTTAAGCCCCTGACTACACAGAGCAGTAGCCTAGCAACTTTCCGAATGCCATGACCCTTTAACACAGTTCCTCATATTATGTTGACCCCCCCAATCACAGAATTATTTTTGTTGCTACTTCATAACTGTAATTTTGCTACTGTTATGAATCGGGCGAGCCCTGCGAAAGGGTGGTTTGACCCCCCAAAGGGGTCACGACCCACAGGTTGAGACCCGCTGGCATAGAGCTCTCAGTGGAGTACTGTGTTTCCCACAGTATAGGTCATCGACCCCTGCATCAGAAACACCTGTGTTTCTATTAAAGACAGGCATTTTTCCTGCCCCATCCAGGATCTCCCAAACACGTGGAGGCAACCCCAAGGGGTATGAATTTTAATATTCCCCATAACTCTTTAACTCTGTCTAGAAAAAATGGGTTCAGAATTTAACCAGTCAAAATAATGCCTCTAAACAACATTATCTGTGTTATGTTGGCCTCTATTGAACCATCTTTAAACAGGACAGGATAAGTGACGGAGCCGTTTGGCAGGTGGCTAAATCCTAAGGCTTTTGATGGGCTTGCAAGAAGTGGATGGCTAGGCACTAAACATACACATGAGCTAATTGGAACTGGAAGAAAGCCTAGCCCATCATATCTGTGGCTTTGCTGGCATTCACTCTCAAGGGAGGACAGCCAATGCCAACACACCTGTGCCCCAGCAAGCCAGCAGGGTGGCCAGAGGAGTATGTGGGCGATGTGCAAGATGGCGTGGGGAGGGTGAACTCAATGACGCTTTGTCTCACTGTAACTATGAGTTACTTTAAAAAGAAGTTATTCCTCCCACTAGAAACAGAACTCTTATTTGTTGCTGTTGGCTTGTTTTTAAAAAGTTAGAAGTAAAAAATTAATAGGGAAAAGGAAGAAAATGCACATATTACAAGCAAGTAATACAGTTAAACTTATACGAGAAGTAAATATAGTTAAACTCCCACCCCCCAAACCCCTTTTAATCCTTGCTGTCCTGGATTGGGGGCAAAGAATTTGTGCTTGAGTACTACCCTAAAGACTGGTTATTCAAATCCACCCACCTGCATCATGGAACAAAGGCCCGGAGGTTTGTGTCCATAAAGATTACAGCTAAGCGAGGTAAGTCAGGCACAAAAGGGCAAGTACAACATGTGTCTGCTGAGGTCAGCTTTAAAAAAATGCAAAAGGTGCATAGGGAAAAAGCTACTGTATGCAAACATTCCTGGGGTGAGGTCCAGGTAGTATGGCAGGGGCCAGACCAAATCCAGGGGTACATATGATAGCCAACTTAAAAGGACGGGGTGGGGGAGAAATAAAAGAATGGGTGGTGGGGAACAGGGCACTAACCCACCCAAGGGGAGGGTATTGTTTATATCTCCATAGGGAAAGAGGGACCAGACTTCAACCCAGTGCTCCAAGATGTGAAAGAAGCAGGGAACCAGTAGAGAGGTCTGAAGGGTCTGCCCCACTCCCAACTACGTGGACAGTTGCCCCTCCCCGAGGAGAATTTACTTCAGAGGACAGCACTGAAGCTACAGCTCAGGGAGAGTGACATGTCTGTCTGATCAGAGCACACGGGAGCAAATGAAGGGGGAGGAAGAGAGAGTGGAGCACATGCTGGCCTATCCCTGCTCAGAGAAGCCAATGCACAGAGAGGACCATATGGCCGGCCCCACTATGAGACATGACATCCCTCACTGACCCATAGCCCTACAGAAGACAACACTGGAGAGACAGTGTGGGAATTGCACTGGATCTGACCCCACCACACCGAGGTGAAACACTAAGGGCATGCAACAGAATGGCAAGGGGAGCAGAACAAGGAAGTCCCGAGAGAGTACCAAAAACAGACTTTGGGGCCAGGGCTTGGCACTTCATCAGACTGGACCAGAAAACACTCCTAAAGGTCAACAAACAGACCTTGAACTATTTACAGACGTTTATTTTTTTGTCATTGTTTTTTTGTTGTCATTGTTGTTGTTTTCTTTACTTTTGCTGCTTTGCTTTGCTCTGTCTTGTTTTTGTGTATATTATTATCTCTGCAAGTCCATCTAGATAATATAGGTGGGATAAACAATCTGGAGGAGAAAACAACAGGACTAATGGTTCCGGGGGGACATGGGAGAGGGGGTGGTAGGGGAAAGAAAGTGGTATTAACAAACCCAGGGACAAGAGAACAATAAGTGATCCAAAATCGGTGGCAAGGAGGGTGTAAGAGGTCTGGTAGGGATTGATCAAGGGCAATGTAACCGAGAGGAATTACTGAAACTCAAATGAAGGCTGAGCACAATAGTGGGACAAGAGGAAAGTAAAAGGAAATCGAGTAAAGAACTAGGAGGCAAAGGGCATTTATAGAGATCTAAATACAGGCATGTACATATGTAAATATATTTATATATGATTATGGGGAAATAGATCTATGTGCATATATTTATAGGTTTAGTGTTAAGGCAGCAGATGGACATTGGGCCTCCACTTAAGTACTCTCTCAATACAAGAAAATTTTGTTCTATTAAACTGGCATTCCATGATGCTCACCTTCCAGACACGATAGCTGAAGACAAAGCAGGTGCATAAGCAAATGTGGTGAAGAAAGCTGATGGTGCCCAGCTATCAAAAGATACAGCATCTGGGGTTTTAAAGGCTTGAAGATAAACAAACAGCCATCTAGCTGGGAAGCAACAAAGCCCACATGGAAGAAGCATATCAGCCTGTGTGATCATGCGGTGTTGATGAAATCAGATATCAGGCATCAAAGAACAAAAAACCATATCATTGTGAATGAGGGACAGTGCAGAGTGGGGATTCAAAGCCCATCTGTAGGCAACTGGACATCCCCTTACAGAAGGGTCACAGGGAGGAGATGCCAGTCAGGGTGCAGTGTAGCAACGATGAGACATACAACTTTCCTCTAGTTCTCTAATGCTTCCTCCACCCAGTACCATGATCCCAATTCTACCTTATAAATCTGGCTACACCAGAGGATGTACACGGGTACAGATAGGAACTGGAAACACAGGACATTCAGGACAGATGACCCCGTCAGGACCAGTGGTGACAGTGGCTATACCAGGAGGGTAGAGGGAAGATGGGGGAGAAAAGGGGAACCGATCACAAGGATCTACATTTAACAACCTCCCTGGGGGACAGACAACAGAAAAGTGGGTGAAGGGAGATGTCAGATAGTGAAAGACATGACAAAATAATAATTTATAAATTATTAAGGGTTCATGAGGGAAGCGGTGCGGGGAAGGAGGGGAAAATGAGGAGGTGATACCAAGGGCTCAAGTAGAAAGAAAATGTTTTGAGAATAATGATGGCAATGTATATACAAGAATGCTTGACACAGTGGATGGATGGATTGTGATAAGTTGTACGAGCCCCCAATAAAATGATTTAAAAAAAAAAGAATAGCTTCAACTCAAGGTTAAAAATTTAAGAAAATGTTTTGAGAATGAGGAGTGCAACAAATGTACAAATGTGCTTGACACAATGTATGTATGTATGGATTATGATAAGAGTTGTATGAGTCCCCAGTAAAATGATTAAAACAAACAAACAAAAAAGATTACAGCCAAGAAAAACCGCTGAAGAGGGTCACCATGAGTCAGACTCACCTCAACAGCAAAGGGTTGATTAGTTTTTGTGCTCATCATTCAAAATGTGGACGGAACAAAATTTCTTCCCAACCCTGATGAGTTTCTGCACTGAACTACCTCTTGACATCACATAGAGGTTAAGGTCGCCAATGAAAGCACTTTCAGCCTTCTATGACACCCTCATTTCAGAGGGTTGGGGCAAGAGCTGACACAGAACCACAACAGCTGCAGCAGAGCGTGCCAAGCACATTCAGATCACTGGGAGTCAGTTTTCCAAATGCAATTGTTTGGACTCTATTATTGTGTGTGTTGAGTGAATTCTAAGCGTGGCTGTAATCTTTATGGAACCAGATAGCTAGGTCTTCCCCAGCCCGCCAGGAAGTTTGCTGGATTTGAACCACCAATCTTTGCATTAGGATCTGAGCACCTCCCCATTGCACAGCCAGAGCTCCTTGTCTGAGCTCTGCTTCTCACCTCTGAATAAGAATCTCTGGAACTAGAGGGAAAACAGCAGTCTCTCTTTAGGCTCCGTGTGCTGCTTAAAGACGCGGATGTACTGCTCATGTTAAGAAGACTAGTCTAACGGTCTAAAGGCCCCCAGAGGCCTCCTTGCATGCACAAGCAGTGGGCACTTGGACCCCGTGATAACAACTTCTATCACATCACCATTTGGGTCACGACATAATTGCAGCTTGCTCCATAAAGAAAGGGATTTCTGTCTTTTTTATCTTCTCTTAAGACTTAGCACGTCACTGGTGCATAGTAAATATCTGTTGAAAAAATGGCTAGACACTGCTCTCAGATTGCCCTGCACTAGAACATTCACAGTCGCCATTGTTTGGGCCACAAGGGAAGGGGGAAATGTCTTCTCATTCTTTTGTGCCTTTTGCAGAGAAGCAGAAAGACCAGCCACAGCAGCTGCCTTCATTCGGACAATGTGATAAAATCTCTCAGCTCAAGCTGAACATAATAAACACGCACAAACACAAAAAACTCATCCAAATGGAAAAATGCCCTATTCTTTTCCTGACAGAGAACAGATCTTCCCGAGGCAGAATGGGGACAAGGAGCCACCAGAAAGAGAGGACATGGGAGAAAGGACTACATTGGAGCCTGTTTGTCTCAGGAGTCTAGCAGGAAAAGCAAGGAGAGCTCATGGCCATTGGCAGCTGGAATGAGGGCTAGGACCTCTGGCTGCTGCGCTGAAAACCCGGAGGAGGAGGACGAGGAAGAGGAATAGGGGGAGGAATGTCCTCAACACCACTGGGAGCAAAAAATCTGGACCTTCTCTGGAAAATGATTTCATTCTTTGAACTACATGGGGATGTGAGAGAAAGTGCCGTCGGGACCTAGCTGATCAGCCTCCCGGTTATAAGAGAAAAAAAACGCATGTGGCGCTCTCATCTTCCACCAGGACGACAAGACTCTGAGTCTGAAATCGCAACAGCTGCAGCCCTGCACTGCTGTCCTGTGGAGGACTTGGGCTGGACAGTCGGGGCAAGGGACCATGGATGTACCAGGCCTCCTGGGGCACATCACCTGAGGGGCTAAGATTTAGTTCTGCCATGCCCTGGCTGTGTGCCGTGTGTCGCTTGTCTAATTAGCCTCCATCCCCACATTCTCTATAAGGTCGAGAAGAGAACAGGCATCTCTCAAGGCCTGGAGAAGGTAAAGTGAGACTTCAGTTCTTACCAGTGCCTAGTTTGTACTAGGAAGTGTTCACCTACTGCGACTGATATGAGGCACCAGTGCTCATTGCTGAACAATAATCCATAGATGAAAACCACCCAAGCATCATCCATCAATGAGGGGATGGGTGGACAAAGTGTCGTGCATATACACTCATCCAGAAGGAGAAATAAAGTCCATGATGTTCAGTGGAGGACCCTTGAAAACATGATGCGGAGCACAGGAAGCCAATCACAAAAGGACAAGTATTGTATGATCTATCTCCTACAAAAGACCTAGAATCAATAAATGTAAAGACACTAAAATTTATTAGTGGTTACCAGGAAGGGTAATGGAAGTTTACATAGTAGGTATCGATGAAAGAAATGTATAAGATTAAAATAACTAATAAAATGAAATCGTCCATGTGAAAAGTGTTAAACTTGGCGAATGTTGTGTTATATATATTTACAGCAGTTTTTGAAAAAAAAGTAAAAGAGGCTACTGCTGCTAACAAGTTAAGGGATCTGAGATTTATATCAGTCTAAACATTATGCTCACACACCCATGCCGACCACATTCACCGAATCCCAAAGAACTTTTAAAACAAAGGCACAACCCAAGCTCTTTGCAGGCGACGGGAGACATCTGTTTGGACTCTTCTCTAGCGAGCATAATGCCTGATCCAAAGGGCTCTTGCAACACTCTTGGAAAAGATGAATAATGGTTCCTTGCTGTTAATGTTATCCCTTGGGCTCAGAGAGCTAACTCCTCTTTCCTGGCTGCCCCTTCCTATCAGAGGTCGATCCTGATGGTTTCTGAGATAAACAGAGACCTTCCCCAGACAGCACTACGCATCTATCCCATTAGACAGCCCAGGAGAGGGAACAAGGACTGCTCTCTGTTTCCTTATAAATAATCAACTGGGGCCTCGGAGCCCTCACTTACATGACTCCTTCCTCAGATTTCTCAATACAATGTCTAGGATCCCAACCCCCAAGATCTCAATCCTTGATTATGCAGAGCAGCAAGTTCTGCAGACCTGGATCTGATTAGTAGTTTCAGAGAAGCGAAGCCCGAGGGCGGTTCCTTTAGGATGGGGACCAGCGCATAGCTTCGACCCATTTTCAGAACCTTTGCAGCAACGACCCCCACAGACTGGTCAAATCTGAAAACCCTGTCTGTCTCACGGCTCCTACTGCTTCTGCCTCGCCCAGCTGCACTTGCCCCTCCTAGATTAGGAGTGTGGTCGGCCTGCTCTGCCCGCCGCATTGATGACGTCCCTCGCTCATAGGAGGCCTCAAGTCACAGAGGAGCAATGAGGAAAGAAATGGGTTACGGAGCGGAACCCCAGAGGCGCCGCTGTGTTACCTGAGCAATGATATCCCCGTTCTCGGCATGAACTTGGGCAATGGCCCCCAGCTCTCCGAGGGAGCTGAAGATCTCGTAGAGCTGAAATAGAAATGAGCAGGTGTCACCTTCCCACGTCACTGGTGCTGTTAATAAGAAGATGGATGTTCCAAGGGCTAAATCCAGATACACATACACGGCATGGGGCGCGGACGCTGCCGAGGGAGGAGAGAGGCACTAACGGACGCCACACCAAAAGGACTGTGGTCTAATGCAACTCGAGGAAACTCTGTCACGGGGAAGCACCTAGACCGGTGGTTCTCAACCTTCCCAATGCCGCGCCCCTTTCATACCGTTCCTCATGGTGACCCCGCAACCATAACATTAATTTTGGTGACCTGCATAACTGTCATCTTGCTACTGTTATGAATCGAGTGCCCCCTGTGAAAGGGTGGTTCGACCCCCAAAGGGGTCGCGACCCACAGGTTTAGAACCACTGACCTAAAGTTTCTAGAGGCAGGCTGGGCAAACTGCGCCCCAGTGCTCTGCTCTGCCCCTGACCATCATGTGTAATGGAATTATTTCCCACTGAGCTGAGAGCAAGTGTCAGGCTCCACTGTAACAAGTGCTTCAGAAAGCTGCTCTTGCTTGCTTGGTCGTGGAATGAGACAAAGCTGGGACTCCTGCCTCTTAGTCTCTCCGAATAGATCTTTACCTCTTACATTCACCTCTCTTCACTAGGAGGTGTGGGAATACATAGCTTATGCATATTCAAGATGTGTCTGAAACAGTCACATGACACACATTTCTTAGGAAGAGTCAGAGGCACCTGGATATTTATTATCCCCACGCCCCATTTTCATGCAGCAAGGGTCTGGAATCTGTTCAGTCAATGCAGGCAGGCATGCTCTTCCTCTTACCCCTTAAAGAATGATGCTGCCAATGGGAATTCTAGCTCCCTGCCTAGGTGGTCACAGACAGTGTGCTTGTTACTTTACTTAAAAATATAGTGCGTGCTGCAAAATTTCAGTGAGCATTCTGGCTCAAGAGTCTCCCCCAGTGACCACATTGGCTCACAGATAAAGGTCAAGGTCATCAGCAAAACCAGAAAACCCAGCTAACCCCAACCACACAACAAATGGATTATTACCTCTGTGTTGGACACTTGATACATATCCTTATAGGCCATGTAAACCATGAAGGAGTTAACCCCTGTAAGAGAGGGACGGGGCAGGGGAAAACAAGAGAAAGAAATGTTATCACAACCAGTCTATCATCGCCGATTGCAATGGAGACTCCTGTTCTGACTACAGCAGAGCCCTTTCTCCGTGTTCTTGAAGAGAATTTGTCCAGTTCCTCCCCCTTACCCCGTAAAATCTCTAAGTTGTATCAGAGCCAAAGAGCAGACCTGCTTCAAAATCTCTCTTCCCCTTTGCATATTCTCCGGCAGAGGCCGGCTATGCTCTTATATCATTGGAGGCCATGTTGCTCAAGAGTCATGGCAGCAGCCCCGTAGTGTGTCTTCACTCACTGGGGATACCACCTGGAACCCATCGCACAATGGGGTGACACCACCTGGCAGCCAGTTCTGTGAACTTGGACTACTCCGTCTCGCTGAGACTTAGTTTCCACATCTATAAATGAGGATAGTAACAATGCCCTATCTTCAAAGGTCATTGGGAATGTTAAAAGAAATAAAGCATGTAGAGTGTTTAGCATCAGGCCTGCCACACAAGCCAGGACTCCATTGATGGGTCTCCTAAGGGAATATTCACGATTTAATGAATATCTGTTATCTACCAGGCCTGTGTGGGGTGTTAGAGCTGAGAGGAGATCTAAGATAGATCCTGTCCTTAGAGATAATAGATAGAGGTATTGAATTGTGACCCCCTCCAAAAAAAAAAAAATGCTGTAAATCCTAACCCCCACGCTGTGGAGCCCAGGTGTCAAAGTGGTTAAGTGTGTGGCTTTACCACTCTTCCAGATATGGCTTTGGTATCACTTGGGAACTTCTCTGCTGAAGAAAAAAGTAGTCATCTGCTTCTGTGAAGATTCCAGCCTTGGAACCCCTAAGGGGCAGTTCTACTCTTACTTATAATGTCGCCATGTGATTCAGCATCAACTCAGTGGCAATGGCTTTGTGTTTTCTGGGGTACATCTATGGTTACAACCCCAGTTGGGAATGGGTTTTCTTTGCCAGGTTAATGAGATAGCAGGATGTGCTTTAAGCCTGTGTGTGTGTGTGTGTGTGTGTGTGTGTGTGTGTGTGTGTGTGATATAAAAGCCAAGTGAGCAAGTAGCTTGAGTAGAGATAGCGTAAGTTGAATGGTAAGCTAAGTGAAGACATTTCTCTAGGGTTTACAGAAAGATAAATCTTCTCTTAGAGACAGGGCCCTGAAATTGGACTTCTATGCCTTTATGTAAGAAAATACATCCCTGTTTGTTAAAGCCACTCACTCATGACATTTCTGATATGAAAACGCCTTGACGCCATTGAGTCCATTCTGACTCTCAGTCACCCTGCCCCTACGGGGTCCCGAGACTGTAACTCTTTCTGGGGGTGCAAAGTCTCATCTCTCTCCCATTTCTGATTTAGCAACACTAAAGAACTAAGGAGCCAAGCTCCACCTGAGGTCTACATAGCTAAACCCTAAAGGTATAGGAGGTCCTTGACAGTGCAGTTCATGAGCTCAGCTGGTAACCAGAAGTTCAGGTGAATCTAAATGGTTTCTTAGGCGTATGGTAGGGGGTGGTGTGGGAAATGGGCAGCTAACAGTGATGAGGACAATGATGGAAAACATGTTCTAAAAACGACTGAGGTGATGACTGCACCGCTCTCCTTGACGCGACTGAGGGCATGATGTGCGGGTTACGTGCCAGTAACACGGTTTCAAAAATGAGAGAGGACTTTTTTAAGGGATATAAAGAAAGTACTATTCAGTTTTGACCCAAAATAAATGGACTGATACAATGATTTACCAAAGTAGACAGAATGGTAAACAGAGGATAATTTGGGGGAAAGGAAGACAATTTTGGTCTCCAACCATGAAGGCCGTCTCAGCCTCCAGTGTTCCTGGCCAAAAGTGGGTTGTAATTTAAGCACTTCCTTACTCAGACTGGTTCAACGCAAAGCCATTTTGTCAACACTGCCCTTCCCACAAGCTTCTGTGTCATCCATGAAATGACCCAGGCTTTTGGCAGGGAGGTGGGGGTCATTTAGTTCTCCACTCCAGTTGAATCGCTCAGTGCCAAAGGAGGCGAAGAAGGAAGGGAAGAGACTAATCTGCCATTCGGCATCACACCGGCTGCTGCTCCCTGAGGACAGCTCAGGGCCTGTGGGAGAAGGGGAGCCAGAAAAGGACTCCCATTCTCTACGGGATATTCTTTATCCTTACAAGTACGAGCGAACTCCGCTCCTACCCTGAGCTCATAACGTTTATCCAGGCTACTCAGTTGATAATAGTTCTTGCATCTTAAAATATGTGTCTTTGTTTATTCTTCATTAGCCTGCTCCCCTTACCTTGGATGTTCACCTGGAGCCATGGCTGTCCCCTGTCTCTCTTAGGTCACCTTACAATGCTAACGAGGTACACTGCATGCATGTGGGCATGGTTCTGTAGTGGTAGGGCAGGGAAGGGTGGGATGGGGGTAGACTAGAGGTAATAACAATGACTACAAGAATGAAGAAAAAAATTCTATAATTAATTGTGGTGATGATTACACAACTCTTTTTCATATGAATGATTAAATTGTATTGTATGTTAAATGTACAGTCAGTAAAACTGTTAACAAATAACAATTTGTCAAATGGAAAAAAGTAGAAAGAATTAGAAGAATCTCGGGAGCCTAAGGAAGGGCATACTAACTGACAGGGTGTGCACACAGAGACATGAACTTGTGCTCAGGGCCCGAGCTCCTACCCTGAGTGCTAACAAACCCTTATTCCCAGAAATGCCTCAGTCTTTTCTAACAGTGCTATTGCTATATAATAGTA